TTGTATGCTGCATTCAAGATGGCGGCCTCCATAAAGTAAATATCGCATTTATTTTATCATCACATGTGCGCCAGCTGACTGTGGGCACAAATCACCTGCGTGGAGTCATTGTGTGAGCACGCCCCTCTTTATGCGTGCTAAACAAAGATGGTTTCCAGTGTGCAACTTTTACCATCTACAGCAGCGACTAATAGGCGCTTACAATCTTAAATATGATCATTACTTGCAGATTAATTGCTCACCTGTTGTCTGGTTTACCACAAAGTCGTCTGTATTAAGACTGTACATTACATCGCCATTACTCCCAGCATCCGGGTCTGTAGCTGTTACTGTGAAGACATAAGTCCCGGATGGAAGTTCCTCTTCAACATCGGCTAGATAATTATCACTGTCAAACGTTGGCGCATTGTCATTGACGTCCAATATTTGGATGTCTGCCTCAGTAAAGTCGCTGAAAATGTCATCACCACCATCTGTAACTGACAGGATTATAGTATACGATCCCGTGGTATCGCGATCGAGGTGACTCAACACGAATACTGCACCACTTACGGGATCTACTGCGAATTTACCGTCACTTCCGCCAACTAGAAAATACGTCAACCGAGAATTGATTCCGGTGTCCATATCTTGGGCTACGACCAACCCTACAGTGGTTCCGACAGTTGCGTCTTCACTCACATTGAAGTGGTAAACCGCCTCTTCAAATAATGGAGCGTTGTCATTAACATCATTCACTGTGATGTTTATCGGGACCGTGGAATTGTGGGCACCATCGTGCGCGGTGACGACAAGGTGATACAGACTTATTTCTTCACGATCCAAAATTGCAGTTGCGTCATCATTAGTCGTGGTAATTATACCCGTGTTGGCATCAATATGGAATTGATCACTGTAATTTCCGGTGAGCGTATAGAACACATCCGCGTTGCGCCCAGCGTCAGCGTCAGTAGTTTCAATATAACGTTTCTGAAATAGATATTCAATACACCTGTTCAATAAATAGCGTCCTCTAGCCTACATTACTTCACAGAAGCGGTTCGTCAATAGAACTTATACAATTATACATACCATGATGACTGTAGTTCCGGTTTCTGCGTTCTCATCAACGTTACCGTAATATACAGGTTCAGTGAAAATGGGAGCATTGTCATTGATATCAACCAACTGTATTTTGATGGAAGCCGTCGACGTCAGTCCGGGCTCACCTTGGTCAACGGCGAGTGCTGCAAGGAATGACGCAGATTGTTAACATAGGCCATTGAAACTTACATTGCTTACGTTGTCGGATTTCAAATACATTATCATATTGATTGACACACAACTAATTAATACTTCAACTAATCGAATAACTATGTTCATTTCATAATTGCAGTACACTTGTAAACTAGTCAAATAGTTTGTTGGTAATAAAGGCAACGCACAACAGAGTTTCCGGGGAGCATAAATACCAATACAACGCAATTTGCTTGTATATTATAAAATAGCCATCTACCTTCAAATTCGTATCTCCGATTATTGACGTCATCAAAGTCTAATCTTCGGTTGGTTAATATATCTCCTGCAAATTAAATGTACATTGTTACACACTTTGGCCAAACAGAACAATCACAGAATTCAGTAAACACTGATTATTCACGCTGCCCAACAGTCGGAATAATTGCGACGGAAAAATTAGTATTTTTTATGAGACTAACATTAAACAGGTTAATAACTCGACGATTACAGAATTGACCATGATTAATTAGTTTGTTCATTCATTAATTTTTCAATGTGATTTCACCATCAACAATAATGGCTACTTTTAAACATATACAAAAACGTTTCTTGGTGGTGA